AAAGTACAAGAAGAGGAAAGACCACAAACTCTTGCCTGATATGTTTTCTGGTAGGTGATACATTACCTGATGGAACACATATGTACAGTTTTGTAGGTGCAAATGTGGCCACAAACTAATTAAAGTGAACACCTAATTAAATGTATAACAAATTACCTAGATCAAAATTGTGTTTGGCATCTTTAAAATGAATGAGTTAATTTAGGCCAGGCATGGTGGCTCAAGCCTGTAATCCCAGAACTTTGGGAGGTCGAGGTGGGTGGATCAACTGAGGTCAGGAGTTCGAGACCAGCCTGGCCAACATGGTGAAACCCCGTTTCTACTAAAAACACAAAAATTAGATGGGCGTAGTGGCAGGTGGCTGCAATCCCAGCTACTTGGGAGGCTGAGGCATGAGAATCGTTTGAACTCGGGAGGCGGAGGTTGCAGTGAGCTGAGATTGTGCCACTGCACTCCGGCCTGGATGACAGAGCAAGACTCCATCTCAAAAAATAAAATAAAATAAAATGAATGAGTTAATTTATAAACCTGGCCCAAGTGATTAAGGTAAAGGCAAAGTATATGTATGCAGTGTTGGTGGTAGATGTTTGGTATAAGGAAGTAAAATCAGAAAAACAGGAGGTACAGACAGGTAGAAGAGGACAAGTAAAGACTTGCCAGTAAGAAAATTTTTAGAAGTTAGTGAAGCTGTGAAAACAGTACTAAGTTTATAAGAAAGACAGGGTAAGTGTTGGAAAGTTTGGTTCTTTAAATTTTTTTTTTTTTTAATTTTCAGGGATACAAGTGATTTTTGGTTACATGGATAAATTGTATAGTGGTGGTGTCTGAGATTTCAGTGCACCCGTCACCTGAGTAGTATATATTGTACCCAATATGTAGTTTTTTTTAATCCCTTACCCCTCCTTCTACCCTCCTGCTTCTGAGTCTCCATAGCCAATTATATCACTCTGCATGCTTTTGCATACTCATAGCTTAGCTCCCACTTCTAAGTGAGAACATGTGGTATTTGGCTTTCCATTCTAGAGTTACTTCACTTAGAATAATGGCCTTCAGCTCCATCCAAGTTGCTGCAAAAGATATCATTTCATTCTTTTTATGGCTGAGTAGTATTCCATGGTATATATATACCACATTTTCTTTTTCTTTTTTTTTTTGAGACGGAGTCTTGCCCTGTTGCCAGGCTGGAGTGCAGTGGCATGATCTCGGCTCACTGCAACCTCTGCCTCCTGAGTTCAAACAGTTCTCTTGCCTCAGCCTCCCAAGTAGCTGGGACTACAGGCACCTGCCACCACACCTAGCTAATTTTTGTATTTTTAGTAGAGACGGCGTTTCCCCATGTTGGCCAGGATGGTCTCAATCTCTTAACCTTGTGATCTGCTCGCCTCAACCTCCCAAAGTGCTCTTTATCCAAACTCATTGATTGGTGGGCACTTAGGTTGGTTCCATATCTTTGCAACTGTGAATTGTGTGGCAATAAACATATACATGCAGGTGACTTTTTAATATAATGACTTATTTTATTTTGGGTAGATACCCAGTAGTGGGGCTGCTGGATTGAATGGTAGATCTACTTTTAGTTCTTTAAGAAATTTCCATACTCGGTTGGGCGCGGTGGCTCACGCCTGTAATCCCAGCACGTTGGGAGGCCGAGGCAGGCAGATCATGAGGTCAGGAGATCGAGACCATCCTGGCTAACACAGTGAAACCCCGTCTCTACTAAAAAATAGAAAAAATTAGCCGAGCATGGTGGCGGGCGCCTGTAGTCCCAGCTACTCAGGAGGCTGAGGCAGGAGAATGGCGTGAACCCGGGAGGCGGAGTTTGCAGTGAGCCAAGATCATGTCACTGCACTCCAGCCTGGCCAACAGAGCGAGATTCCGTCTCAAAAAAAAAAAAAAAAAAGAAAGAAAGAAATTTCCATACTCTTTTCCATAAAGGTTATACTAATTTACATTCCCACCAGCAGTGTACAAGCATTCCCTTTTCACCATATCCATGCTAACATCGATTGTTTTTTGACATTTTAATAATGATCATTCTTGCCGGAGTAAAGTAGTATTTCATCGTGGTTTTAATTGCATTTCCCTGATGATTAGTGATGTTCAGCCCCTTTTCACATGTTCATTGGCCATTTGTATATATTCTTTTGAGAAATGTCTGTTCATGTCATTTGCCCACTTTTTATGGGATAATCTTTTTTTTTTTTTTTCTTGCTGATTTGTTTGAGTTCCTTGTAGATTCTGGATATTAGTTATTTGTTGGATACACAGTTTGCAAATATTTTCTTCCATTCTGTGGGTTGTCTGTTTAGTCTGATGATTATTTCTTTTGCTGTACAGAAGCTTTTTAGTTTAATTAGGTCCCATTCATTTATTTTTTGCTTTATTGCATTTGCTTTTAGGGTCTTCATTATAAATTCTTTGCCTAAGCCAATGTCCAAAATAGTTTTTCCTAGGTTATTTTCTAGAATTTTTAAGGTTTCAGGTCTTAGATTTAAGTTTTTGATCAATCCTGAGTTGATTTTTCTTTTTTTTTTTTTTTTGAGACGGAGTCTCGCTTTGTCGCCCAGGCTGGAGTGCAGTGGCGCGATCTCGGCTCACTGCAAGCTCCGCCTCCCGGGTTCACGCCATTCTCCTGCCTCAGCCTCCCGAGTAGCTGGGACTACAGGCGCCCACAACCGCGCCCGGCTAATTTTTTGTATTTTTAGTAGAGACGGGGTTTCACCGTGGTCTCGATCTCCTGACCTTGTGATCCGCCCGCCTCGGCCTCCCAAAGTGCTGGGATTACAGGCGTGAGCCACCGCGCCCGGCAAGTTGATTTTTGTATAAGGTAAGAGATAGGGATCCAGTTTCATTCTTGTACATGTAGCTAGCCAATTTCCCCAGCAACTTTTATTAAATAGGGTATCCTTTCCCCAGTTTATGTTTTTGTATGCTTTGTCAAGGTTGGTTGCAGGTATTTGGTTTTATTTCTGGGTTCTCTACTATGTCTGTGTGTCTACTTTTATACCAGTACCATGCTATTTCAGGAACTATAGCCTTGTAGCATAATTTGAAGGAAAGTTTGGTTCTTTTTTTTTTCTCTTAAAAAAATTTTTTTTAGAGATTGGGTCTTGCTCTGTTGCCCAGGCTGGTCTCAAACTCTGGACCTCAAATGATCCTCCCATCTCAGCCTCCCAGAGTGCTGGGATTACAGGCATAAGTCACCACACCAAGTGAAAGTTTGGGTTTTAATGACTATGTATTACAATGTGTATTACTAAGAAGAAATAGTAAATAGTTACTCTTAGTTGGTTTAAAAAGAGAGAAAAACACTTCGGGGAAAAAAAACCAAAACAAAACCCAGCACCTAAAAATTACAACTAGCATCTATATATCAATTTATAGTTTAGAAAACACTTTGATATTATTATACTTCAGTCCTAGTTCAGCCTAGCATATACTAAACATTCAATACTTGTAAATTGAAGAAAAATTACAGTAAAATTGTTAAATTTTACATATTGTAAAGAATTTCTGGTGGTATGGGATTTCACTAAGTATTTGGAGTTAAAAGAGCTGTAATGAAAGAGATGAATGTCTTATCTACTTTTTTGAAGCCTTTTTAATCCTATAAATTTTCAATTTGCATAATTATGTGGAATTTGGATTAAGGATGGGGCTAGTAGTCAAGCTTTGGATCAAATGGAATAAATATGTGGTCAAGTACAAGTGTAAAAACAATAAACAGGGTAGGCCAGGCACAGTGGCTCATGCTTGTAATCCCAGCACTTTGGGAGGCCAAGGTGGGCGGATCACCTGAGGTTGGGAGTTCGAGACCAGCCTGGCCAACATTGGGAAACCCCGTCTCTATTAAATATACAAACTTAGCCAGGCATGGTGGCACATGCCTGTAATCCCAGCTACTCGGGAGGCTGAGGCAGGAGAATTGCTTAAACCCGGGAGGCAGAGGTTGCGGTGAAGCGAGATCGCGCCATTGCACTCCACCCTGGACAACAAGAGTGACACTCCGTCTTGGGGGAAAAAAAAAACAAAAAACACCAAAAGAAACCAAAAACAAAAACAATAAACAGGGCCAACGACAATAAGCATCCCAAATCACTGGAGTTATCCATTTGATTATTGTATTAGTGGGTTGCCTGCTAGATGTCAGTCAGTTTTCTTAGATAAATTTTATCGTTAAGTACAAGATGAATAATCATAAATTGCCGCAAAAGCATTAATAGAAGGTGAATGAAATACATTTTAAATTATTTCCCAAATTGCATTTAAAATACCTTCTGGCCTATAATCTCACTGACTCTGGGGGCTGAGACAGGAGGATCGCCTGAGTTCAGAAGATTGAGACCAGCCCAGGCAACACAGCAAGACCTTGTCTCTACAAAAACAAAAATTAAAAAACTAGCTGGGTGAAGTAGTGTAGTGTGCACCCATAGTCCCAGCAACTCTGGAGGCTGAGGTGGGAGGATCACTTGAACCCAGGACTTTGAGTCTGCAGTGAAGTATGATCATGTCACTGAACTTCAGTCTGGGTGACAGGGCAAGGCCCATCTCTAAAAAATAAAAATAAAATAAAATATCCCCTGAAATTATGTCTTTAAAATGCAAAATCTTGAAGAATGCATCCCCAGTAAAATTTTAAAGATAGTTTTAGATTTTTTTTTTTTTTTTTTTTTTTTGAGATGGAGTTTTGCTCTGTCGCCCAGGCTGGAGTGCAATCCACGATCTCAGCTCACTGCAACCCCTGCCTCCCAGGTTCACTTGATTCTCCTGCCTCAGCCTCCAGAGTAGCTGGGATCACAGGCGCCCGCCACCACACCCAGCTAATTTTTTGTATTTTTAGAAGAGAAGGGGTTTCACCATGTTGGCCAGGCTGGTCTTGAACTCCTGACCTCAGGTGATCCACCCGCCTTGGCCACACAAAGTGCTGGGATTACAGGCGTGAACCACCACGCCTGGCCAGTTTTAGATTCTATTGTATAAGAGAAAGGCTAGTTCTCTACCTTGGGATTTGATTTCATCCGTTGCTTTCTCCACCACATTGTTGGTGGCCTCTTTTACAGGAACGTCTGGCACACTCTGTAAAGTCTTTGAAAAGAGAAAAAAAATCACCAATTTCAATGTGACTTGATTTTCCACAAAGTTGTATAAATTATTCCAAGTAAAGGAAAGTTTATTGCTTTGTAAGAGTTAACCAAACATCCCTAGTTAATTTTTCTGGGATATAATGTTGTATACTAGAAGCAAAGAGGTAATCACAGTGTATTTTTTGCATTTACAAGATAAAATGTGTTGGTTCAAAATGTCATCACATCTTCCTATTACTAACAAAGTAATACGCTAGGAATCATTTTAGATGACATTAATTCTTGAATTATACAACACTTTATAGAAACATGATTTGAAACTATAGCATAGGGAAATCAGACCTTTGGAAATGCTACTGTTTTACTGCTAGAATCACTTTCTGTATTTGTGGCAAAAAGAAAAAGCATTTCATCTTAACTGAGGAAATAAAGTATTAATTTTATGAATAGCAACAAAATAGTTTTTGTATACATGCTAATGTACTTTAAAAATCTGACAATAGAATTTTTTTTTTTTTTTTTTTTTGGAGACACAGTTTCACCCTTGCCCAGGCTGGAGTGCAGCGGCACAATCTCAGCTCACTGCAACCTCCACCTCCTGGGTTAAAGTGATTCTCGTGCCTTGGCCTTCCAAGTAGCTAGGATTACAGGCATGCACTACCATGCCCGGATAATTTTTGTATTATTAGTAGAGATGGAGTTTCGTCATGTTGGCCAGTCTGGTCTCAAACTCCTGACCTCAAGTGATCCACCTCGGTCTCCCAAAGTGCTGGGATTACAGGTGTCAGCCATCGACAATCAGTAGGATATTTTAAAAACTCACATTAGTCAACTCACTTGTGAATCTATAGGACTATTTTCAATTGCCTCCCCTTTTCTATGAAATGTTTTTCTTTATTGTAGCCTTGTATTTATTTAAACACAAAGTTACTTAAATGATTAACCTGGAAATTACATTTTCAGCACGATAGTAAAGTGATCCTAAAAGCTGGTCGTTACAGTTTTTAGGATAACTTTAGAAAGAATTCTTTATTTATCTGTAATTTATAACAGCTCTTCACAAATAATTTACCTGTCTATGGAAGTTTCCCACAACTTACTCAAATGAATCAGCTTAATAATCAACATGAGTTTGTCCTTTCCCTTTTGCAATTTTATTTATCTTTTTGAATACCCACATCTTTTCTTTTACATAAGAAAATTGATTTATCTAGTTTATTCTCCAGCATTAATATCTGATTTATTCATGCCAACTCTACCTCATGAAGCTCATTCACTTCAGTTGAGTTCCATTTCCTCTTTTTGTCTTTTCCATTTTCCTGAAATAGAAACAGTGTTAGTAAATGGCATCCAAAAAGAGCTGTGGATTAAACTACTGTCTTATACTTTAATACAGTAAGCTTTTAACTTTTAAAAATTTCACATAATGAGTAAATATCATGCCAAATAAAATTACACAAAGTAGTTGTATCAACAAATTCAAACAATAACAGACTTTTATATATAATCAAGGAATGCCAACCAACTAGAAGCAGGTCGCCATGACTCAACTGTTATTTTGACCCCCTTTTCAGCATTTCTGTCAAAACTTGATGCAGAATACTTCAACCAAAAAGAGAAATAATTAAATGATAGACTATGATTTTGCATCTCAGTTTTCCCAAGAACATTGAATCTCAAATCTTCTCATAAATGTAATAAACCTATGTAGGACAAGAACCTGATCAGGTCTGACTTCCTCTTGAGATGTTGACTCATTCATCTGGACTCCAAAAGGTATCACCAAATGGTACAGAAGAATATTACTAGACCAGTATTAATAACAAAAAGAAAGAAATATTAATAAACATCACAAAGTACTCTATAAGTTAAAAAATCTCCCTTGCTCCTGCCCTCACCTCACTCCACAATTCTATTGAATGATAAATTCTCAACTGCTGAACTTTTCCAACTGTATTACTGTTATGGCTGTTGCTACTGACCAAAGCTAGATCATTGCTCAGGGATACAAGAAAACTCACCATAGTAATCATCGCTACTATCATTAAAAAAACAAAACAAAACAAAACAAAAACAGTAATGCAATTGCATTTTTTAACATGATTGTCATCCTCATTAATTTTTGAGATAACAAGGTGAGGTAAAGCGAAACTTTTATGGCTACCTAATTCATGCAAGAAAGGTAGATAGAGAACAGAATAATAATATCTCAAAAAGCATTTTTTTTTTGGCAAGGGAGAATTCCAGAAGAATGTGACTTATCTGGTTTATTTATTCATATCGAGGTATTAAATAATTACCAGATCCCCACTTTACTGCAAATGACTGTAGATTCACAGATTATTAAATCACTGCCATGCCAAAAATCATTTAAGAGTTTATGTAGCCGGGCGCGGTGGCTCAAGCCTGTAATCCCAGCACTTTGGGAGGCGAGAGGCGATACGAGTCAGGAATGAGACATCCTAACACGGAAACCCTCTATTAAGAAAAAAAAAACTAGCCGGCGAGTGGCGGGCCTTAGCCAGCTACTGGAGGCTGAGCGAGAATGCGTAACCGGAGGGAGCTTGCAGTGAGCTGAGATCCGCCACTGCACTCCAGCTGGTACAGAGCGAGACTCGTCTCAAAAAAAAAAAAAAAAAAAAAAAAGAGAGTTTATGTATATATGAGCTAGGTATTGTGTAAAGACGAAATTATATTCACACAGTCTCTGCCTCCAGGACAGTTACAGTCTAGATACTCTAATTTGAAATAGTATGTATCTAATGCTCTAACGTATTCCCTTTTCTTTTCTTTTCCTTTCTTTTCTTTTCTTTTCCTTTTTTTTTTCTTTTCTTCTTCTTTTTGTTTTTTTTACAGAGTCTCACTCTGTTGCCCACACTGGAGTGCAGTGGCACAATCTCGGCTCACTGCAACCTCCGCCTCCTAGGTTCAAGTGATTCTCCTTCCTCAGCCTGCCAAGTAGCTTGGACTACAGGTGCTCACCACCACGCCTGGTTAATTTTTGTACGTTTAGTAGAGATGGGTTTTCACCATGTTGGCCATGCTGGTCTTGAACTCCTGACCTCAAGTGAGCCACCCTCCTCGGCCTCCCAAAGTGCTGAGATTACAGGTGTGAGGCACCACACCTGGCCATTCCCTTTTCTTTTTATCAACATAACACGTTCTAGCTAAATAAACCAAAAGTACTGCCTTTGGAGAGAAAAGTTTCCAACATTTAAAAATAGCTGCCTCAAAGCCTTTTTGAAGCACTTAATAAATAATAAATAATAGAAAATAAATGTATGTGATAGCTCCCAACTGTATATTCTCAACAGCCTCATTTCTTTGCTTATGGTGTCCATCTCCTGAAATTGCTGAGAAGCTTCCTTCCATTTCTTTTAAAATCTATTTGGTTTGCATGCATTCAGATACATTCAACTCAATAAGCCTTTATTGGGTGCTTTCTATATGCAGGCAAATGTTGGGGCTTAAAAGGATTAATATGACCTGCCTTAAAGAGTTTCCAGTTTAGGCCGGGTGCAGGGGTTCACGCCTGTAATCCCTGCACTTTAGGAGGCCAAGGCGGGTGGATCACCTGAGGTCAGGAGTTCAAGACCAGCCTGGCCAACATAGTGAAACCCTGTCTCTACTAAAAATACAAAAAAGTAGCCGGGTGTGTTGGCAGGTGCCTGTGATCCCAGCTACTCAGGAGGCTGAGGCAGGAGAATCGCTTGAACCTGGGAGGCGGAGGTTGCAGTGAGCCGAGATCATGCCATTTGCACTCCAGCCTAGGCAACAAGAGCGAAACTCTGTCTCAAAAAAAAAAAAAAGTTCCCAGTTCAGTGAGGGAAACAGATGCAATTCAATCTGCAAAGTAAAAGAGTAGAGGTACACACAAAATGTTAAGGAACAAAGAAATAAGCAATTAATTTTCCCAGGGTAGTTATGGATGTTCTCACAAAGGAAGTTGGATAGTAAAAGACTAGTAAGAAAGTTTTGTGTAAAGGAGGGGGGAAGGATATTTGAGGCAGAAGGAACAAAGGAACAAGGATATTTGAAGCAGAAGGAACAAACACTCCAGGTTCAAAAAGTGTTCGAAGAATTCATATAGCAGATATGCTGATATGGAGAAACTGTTAGTGGTCTGGATAGAAGATCAAATCAGCTACAACATTCCCTTAAGCCAAAGCCCAATCCAGAGCAAGGCCCTAACTTCTCTTCAATTCTGTGAAGGCTGAGAGAGGTAAGAAAGCTGCAGAGGAAAAGCTGAAAACTAGCAGAAGTTGATACATGGGGTTTAAGGAAAGAAGACATCTCCATAACTTAAAAGTGCAAGGTGAAGCTGCACGTGCTGATGTAGAAGTTGCAGCAAGTTACCCAGAAGATTTAACTAAGATCATCAATGAAGATGGCTACACTAAACAATGGATTTTCCATGCAGACAAAACAGCCTTCTATTGGAAGAAGATGCTATCTAGGATTTCATAGCTGGAGAGAAGTCAACGTCTGGCTTCAAAGCTTCAAAGGACAGTCTGACTCTCTTGTTTGGGGCTAATGCAGTTGGTGACTTTAAAGTGAAACGAATTCTCATTTATCATTTCAAAAATCCTAACCCTTAAGAATTATGCTGGATCTATTCTGCCTGTACTCTATAAATGGAACAACAAAGTCTGGATGACAGCACATCTGTTTACAGTATGGTTTATGGAATATTTTAAATACACCCTTGAGATCTATTGCTCAGGAAAATTGATTCCTTTCAAAATATTACTGTTCATTGACAGTACACTTGGTCATCTAATAGCTCTGATGGAAATGTACAAGGTAATTAATGTTCCCATGCCTGCCAACATAGAATCCATTCTGCAGCCCATGGATCAAAGACCAATTTCAACTTTCAAGTCTTATTTAAGAAATACATTTCATAAGACTATAGCTTCCATAGATAGTGATTATTCTGATGGATTTGGGCAAAGTAAATTGAAAACCTTCTTGAAAGGATTCACCATTCTAGATGTCATTAAGAACATTTGTGATTCATGGAAGGAAGTCAAAATTGATCAGCATTAACAGAGTTTGGAAGAAGTTGATTCCAATCCTCATGGATGATTTTGAGGGCCCCAGGACTTCAGTGGAGGAAGTAACTGCAGATGTAATGGAAATAGCAAGAGAACTAGAAGTAGACGTGAGGCCTGAAGATGTGACTGAATTGCTGCAATCTCATAATAAAACTTGAATGAATGAGGAGTGTCTTCTTACAGATGGGCAAAGAAAACAGTTTCTTGAGATGGAATCACTCCTGGTGAAGACACTGTGAACATCATTGAAATTACAACAAAGGATTTAGAATACTATATAAACTTAGTTGATGAAGTAGTGATAGGATTTGACAAGACTGACTCTAATTTTGAAAGAAGTTCCACTGTGGGTAAAAAGTTATGAAACAACATCGAATGTTACAGAGAAATTATTCATGACAGGAAGAGTCAATCAATGTAGCAAACTCAATTGTCTTAATTTAAGATATTCTCACAGCCACGCCAGGCTTCAGCAACCACTACTCTGATCAGTCATCAGCTATCAACATCGAAGCAAGATCCTCCATCCTCAAAAAGATTTTGAGTGGGTAAAGGCTCATATGATTGTTGGCATTTTTTAGCAAAAAAAGTATTTTTAAATTAAGGTATGCACAGTTTTTAGACATAATGCTACTGCACACTTAATAGACTATAGGATGAATACAACTTTTATATATGCGTTGGGAAACCAAAACTTCATGTGACCACTTTATTGTGATGTTCTCTTTATTGTAGTGGTCTGGAACCAAACCCAAAATATCTCCAAGGTCTGCCTGTATGAGAGCCAATAATATAATTTTAGTCACCACAATGGAGAATTCCAACCTCTCACCCAGTTCCTTAATTGAAAGGTGGGTCCCTTTGAGAAAGAGCTCTGTAGCATTGCCACTAGAATATACTGAAAAATCTTCCTCTAAGTCTTTTCCACAGAGATTGGTGGCCATTTCCTAAAATGACTTTGTGCTAGGGAAAAGGAATATCCAGGTTTTTCAGAGATATCTAAACACTAATTCTAAACTGATGTTAATCCTGGGGATCCAAAATACCACTTCAGTCCATAAGGTTAAGTGGGGGTTTGTGGTGGTCAGATGGAGTCTTAACTCAAGTTTGAATCACAGTGGTTTAGTAGGGCCATAGAACCACCCTGTGGTGATTTCATCAGTCCCTGAATATATAATTAGAACAGAGATACTGGTAACTGGCAGGATCTCTATATCAGTTCTCTGACTCTGGAATAAGGACTATTATAGTAGGAAGGGCCA